GACTACAGTGAGTCACACTGAAATCACCTCACACGGTTGCTGCTAACAGCTGCTGCAGCTGCATCCTGATCAGAGGGTTTTCATTTACTCAAACTCTAAATTTACTCAAATCCAGCAAAAATAACAGAAAATACAAGTGAGGTAACTCAGATTGTTCAGATCCTGGTCTCCTTAGCCAGAAAGTACCTGCTGGTGACGTCATCATCCTCATGCTGGTTTATGGTGTTTGCTGTTAATGTCTGCATTAAATGGCACAAATAAAGCTTCAGATATGTGAAGTTGTTTGGGTTTCTGGCGGGATAATAAGGTTCGAGGGTAAAAGATTTTCCGTGTCGTTTCTCAGTGTCGGACACTCAGGCGGAGACCTTTGAGGTGACGATGACGCCCACGGCGGACGAGCTCTCTGAGGACAGCGTCACTCAGATTCAGGTGGTGCTCAGGCTCCTTTTTTCTTATTCTAAGCGTTCTGTGTTTGCTCTGTGTAGTTTCCTGTAAGGATGAGCCACCAGTTAAAAGTGAGCTGTTTCTGCTTTAATAAAAACAAAGTGACGGAAAACAAAAAGGAGTTTTATTTATATGAAATGGATTAAATGTAAGAGAACGGGGTGTGACTGAACAGAGGTTTTCATTTTGATCACTTTGTGTTTGCAGATCCTACAGGAAGATGAAGACTCCCTCTCAGCCAATCAGAAGACGGAGGTGTCGCCTGTCAGTCAGGCCTGGTTCACAACTAAAGAAGACAAAGACACGCTGGCTAATAAAGGTACCAACGAGGCCAGAACCTCTGTAGCAGACAGTGAATGCAGCTCACTGAGAGGCTTAGAGAAAACAGCACGGCCCAAAAGAAGTCAGACTGTTTGGAAGTCTGTGTGAAAATGAGCTCAGTGAACTCTTTCCTGATGACTTCATGGTGTCAGACTCTAGTTTAGAGTCCTGTTGAAGACAGCATGATGTTTATTTAGGACTCCTACTGCACACCTCGTAGTCCGCCTCGATGGATGTTGGAGTCCGTTAGCAGCAGCAAAGTACACAATAAAAAGTTCTAATAAAGCCAAACTTAACAAAGGGAAAAAAAAAGTCTGGTTAAAAGCTGATTTTTCTTCTCCTTTTTGACTTTAAATGAAACCAGAATGTATAAAATAAACATAATTTTTTACTCAAACCAGCGACTGGAACCATGAACTCCTCAGGAAAGACTTTCATATGGCTGGAGTCCAGACGAGTCACCCCCTGCTGTTCATTAGAAACAATGCAGGTTTTCATGTCTCTTCCTTTTCAGGTCATAAGTGGAAACAGGGCATGTGGTCTAAAGAGGAGATCGACATCCTCATGAGGAACATCGACCAGTACGTGAAGGTACGTGGGGTTGGTCCCTGACATAATTTCTGCCTCTGTGACGTCTGATGACGTTAAACTGTTCTTGTGGCCACGATCTCAGGGCCGCGGCATCGAGGACCCGGCAGAGATCATCTTTGAGATGTCCAAAGAGGAGAGGAAGGACTTCTACCGCTCCGTGGCGTTGGGATTGAACAGGCCGCTGTTTGCCGTCTACAGACGAGTCCTCCGGATGTACGACAACCGCAACCATGTCGGCAAGTGAGTGCACAGAGAAAAGATGGTGTAAGAAAGGCAGTGCAAGTTTGTTGGTTTTTGTTTAAGGAGTGGTTTGTGTCTTAGGTACACTCCTGATGAGATCGAGAAGCTGAAGGCGTAAGTACAACTTTGTTTTAACGAGCGCTTGATGACGGTGTAAAATGGATTTCACACTAACCCGTGTTTATATGTGATGCGTTTAGGTTGAGGGAGAAACACGGGAACGACTGGGCGACTATCGGTGCTGCACTAGGTCGCAGTGCATCCTCTGTGAAAGATCGCTGCCGGCTGATGAAGGACACGTGCAACACAGGTACTGCACAGCAGCCGTTTGTACTTGTAGAGATATTTAAATGCTTGCTTTTATTTTGAAATTCGCTCTGTTTTTAAAAACCAGGTAAATGGAGCGAGGACGAGGAGCGACGGCTTGCCGAGGTCGTATACGAGATGGCAGGGGTGTCACCGGGGTCGGCGGTCACAGGAGGCGTGTCATGGGCGACGGTGGCTGATCGAGTCCGCACACGCTCAGAAAAGCAGTGTCGGTCTAAATGGCTGAACTACCTGAACTGGAAGCACAGTGGAGGAACTGAGTGGACGAAGGAAGATGACTTGAATCTTGTACGCAGGTACGGCGGTGTGGGCGTGCACACGTGTGTGTGAGCGAGCATAGTAAACCATGTGTAAGCTTGATACCGTGTTTCAGGATATCAGAGCTTGACGTGGATGATGAGAATGAAATTAAGTGGGAGGATCTCGCCGGCGGATGGAGCAGCGTTCGATCACCCCAGTGGCTCCGATCAAAGTGGTGGAGCATCAAGAGACAAGTGGCCAATCACAAGGACATCCCCTTCAGTGGTATGGATACACACACACACAAATTAATACCGTCATTTATTTCCTCATGTTTCTGATTCTCTTCTTCTATTATTAAAATCTCGTGATGTGGTTTGCGTCGCTAGTCCTCCTGAAGGGCCTCCAGGAGCTCATGGCCTCCTCGCAGTCAGCATCTGTTCCGGGCAGCCCCTCCTCCCTTCAGATCCGACTCACCCGATTAGACGAGAACAGCGGCGGAGCCAGCCCCGCCCCTAGCTCTGTGGCCGCACTGCAGATTCCCTTACAGATCCCGCTGCAGATCACACACCTGGGTGAGCCTCGCACGCCTGCACTACACCACCCACATGTTCACTTCCTCTGCGTGTGCTGCTGCTGTGGCCACACTATTTTTTTTTTATGGAGATACTAAACCACCATAGAAGAAGAAGAATTAGAACCAGACTACGCTGATGAATCAGAGAAGAAGGTGACTGAGGTTTACCTGTTGGACAGCGTGTAACAGGTGTGCTGCCTGCAGCTGAAGATGTTCTTGTCCTGACAGCGAGACCTCTGACTGTTGCTCTGTTTGTGTTTCTGTGTTAGCGTCAGATTCAGCGGCAGCAGCTAGCGACAGCGAGACCATCACACTGAATGCTGGAGCGCTGCAGACCTTTGAGATCCTGCCGGTAAGCACCACGAGCGCCTTTCACAATAAAACACATGAATATGAATGAATTTAAAACCTTTTCTTTGTGCAGTCGTTCCACCTGCAGCCCACCGGCACCCCGGGAACCTACTACCTCCAGACGACACCCAATCAGGGCCTTCCATTGAGCTTAGCCAATAACAGCACCGTTACCCTGACGACGAGCTCCTCGCCCTCATCTCATGAACACATTATCCTCCACAGTCTGTCGGTCAGTTTATTGCCCTGCTGAGGGTAAACGTGTGTGTGTGCGTGTGCGTCTTTTCACATGCTTTCCATCTCCAGGCCGACAGTCTCTGCTCCAGCGATGGCGTCATCATCCAGACTGTCACCTCTGACCCCGCCTCCTCCTCCTCTGAAGCCCTCAGCCAGCAGCAGCTGGTGGTGGAGACTGAGACCCGGGGCCAGGACGATCGTCTCGACGCCGCAAGTCTGTTGGAGGGGTCGGAGAGTGTCGCCACGGAAACTCAGGAGCCAATGACGAATGGCTTCAGTGACACAGACAAAGTAGAAGCTTCAGTTTTTCCTCACACGTTGTTTGCGTGCTTTTAATTCGAAAAGCTTTCTGTTAGTATCGTTCTGTTTTTGTTGAGAAATAAAGGGGTGGACAAAATAATAGAAGCCAGTTTTGTGGATTAAAACTTTTTTATGACCAGAATATGTAAGAATTTTAACTTAAACAAAACAAATAAATATATTTGTACAGTGAGAAAAAACAAGGGGGGAGGGTGGGGTCACAACACAACCAAGTCAGCTGTGTTGTCCTTGTACCCAGAGGGAGCACACAATGATGACTGAACAATACAACAGTGTGTGTTTGTGTGTGTGTCAGGGCCTGCGTTCCCCCCCGATGGAGGCTCCAATGGTGCATTCTGGGATAACGTCTGGGAGTGCCGTGCTGATCGTGTCTCCTCCCAACATCAGTAGCACACTAACGGGTAACACGCACACACAGTTAAAGTAGAACGTAACTGCGAATCTATGCTCTGCCTCCTGTCAATGAAACTATGGCAACCGTGACCCACGAGGCTCAGCATCTCCTTTACTGCTCAGAGACGAGTCCCTGTGTGCTGCGTGCGCTGCTTTAAATTCACACTGTTTGATTGGGTTTTCAAGCCTTCGTGTCTTTTAAATGATGAGGTTGTGCTTTAGTGTCCACGCCGCCCAGCTGTATGGCGGGGTGGTGAAAATACCCAGGCTTCCAAATCTGATGCCCTCTACCCCTGTGGTGCACTTGGAAATTCTGATGATTAAAAATAGAAAAATAAATTAAAGAAACAAGAATTGTTTAACATGAAAAATATAGCCTGAAGTTTCTCTCCAAGTGTGTAATCAGAGTATTCATACTGCTGCACGAATTTCACCTGAGCATCACTTCCTTTGTTTTTCATCAGATCCCATCTTGGAAAACCAGGAAGTCTCTGACTGAGTCGGACTTCCCGCTGCAGCTGTCGCTCAGGGCGACACCTCCACCCTTGGGCTTGACCCGGCATGTCAGACTGTGATACTCCCTCCTCTCCTGCTTCCCGTTTCCTCTTTAACGGATGCAAGCACTTTAAAACTAAACGGAACATTTTTGGAGTCCCTGAATGAAATGACCGCAGTGCCAAAGAGACTCTAAAGCCTGGACACTTTAATGTGAATGGACCCTTGGATCTGAAAAATCATCCTTTTTCATTTTACATGAAGTTGTTTTGTCGGGATGGTGACAATGATCAACAGAACTCAAAGGAATAGTTCAATGTTACACATTTTCCACCTGTTTTTTCATGACTTAAGTACACCTTTATTTATTTATGCTCATTTTTGAAGACTTTAAATCGTAAACTGCTGTTTTCAGCAGGAACTTATGTGAAATTTTAAAGTAAAAAAAACATAATCCTGAAGCTGTGGTCAGGTTGGCTTTTATTGTGAAAGGCTGGGCTTATTTGCCCTAAAGAGGTTTATCCTGTTCCTCTGTAACACACAGCTCTGTTTCCATTGTTTCATAGCTGGTAACGCCTGTAACACCCGCTGGATTTATCCGCAGCTGAAAATAGTCCCTCAGAGAGCATTCATTCCAACAGATGGCGCAGAGATGGGAGTGCTGCTGGTTTTGATGTTTTTTGTGAGTTTTGCTTGAACTAGTCAGAAGTCATAGCTGCCCACAGAGGCAGTGATTTCTTACGGTTGGTGTAAACATAAGCAGCCTTGCATGATTAATGCGGAATCCAGTTTATAGTCTGGTTTGGTAATTCTGGGCAAACTGGCCCTTTAAACAGGCCGGTTGGAGGATTTACTCCAAACTAATTAAGCACCAGGGTTCTTCTTGCCATTGTTCCCTGGTTGCTAATGCTGCCTCGTGCTGTGGACGTATCAGATTCTACCTGATCATCATTCAACCTACCAAACGTCGCTACTAGTTAGTTTTCTGTCTTCTTTCTGTTAGACTCAGGTTTATTATCTTTAGATGGAAAATAACCTCCCGCTCCTGTTTTTTTTTTTTTTTTTAAACTTTATTGAAAAGAGGATCTGAAGGCTTTTAAACCCTCGATGGTGTTTTTTGGAAAATTGGAAAACTGAAAACCTTATATGAATAACAGGTCATAAAGCAGGAGCAGCAGGAGGAATGGATGCTTGAGGACTGAATGGATCTGAAACAGCCAGATTAATAACAGTGACACAGCTTTATGGGTAAAGCCATTTACAAAGCTTTCATTCATTTCCACTGGTGCTACAGCTGGCCTGAGAGAGAAAAAGGGTAGAGAGAGAGTGTGTGTGATTTAGAAATGCTTAGTGCAAAGAATTGGCAGTCTGTGTAATTCGGCGTTTAAATCCAACTTAAAATCCTCTCAGCCACATGTGGACAGTAATTATATACACGGTTATCAGAAGCCGACAGACGGAGAAAACACAGGTTTGCATATTTCCGATGTGCTGCTACAGCTGCCTGCTAACGTCTACAGTACTGAACTGCTGCTTCCCTCCATGCTCACAGCCTGCATCCAGGTTAAAGGAAAAGCCCACCTGGTTCTCACCTGAGCAGGTAACAGCAGCAGAATACATCTGAATTTGGGCTGAGGACAGAAAGCCCCCTGAATGCACCACTATGGGTTTTTATATTAGTTAATGGTAACAGACGACACACACCACCATTAGCTTCCGTTTTCTCTCCTGAGAAGGGGTGGTGGTGGCATGGCATACTATAATCCATAATTAGCAGATTCTCAGACTAACATAAGATGAGGTTATGGTATGACAGTGGCCTGGTCCTTTGTTCCCTTTGTGAGCTTGTCTATGTTTGAATTGTTCTGAAGAGTCCACTTTGGAAGTAGATTTAGGATAAAACATGTTTATGCCTTCATAATGTCCACAGTCTGTATATAAAAGATGGACATGGCCATTGTGACGTCTCAGGTTTGTTGGGCACCACCATGGTTCATCTCTGCTGCAGCTGTTAAAGGTTTGAACAGTGTATCAGGATAAAAATATGTTTATTTCTGTGTTTTAACAAGGGAGTCTACCGACTCACTGCTGGTGCCAGCCTCTAGTGGCCACTAGAGGAACTACAGGTTTTGTTTTTGGACACTTTCTCCCTGGGAAAAAACAGAGCGAAGCTGGTGAGTAAAGGAGCTCTCTGACATCCAGCCTGCATTCCTGCCTCCTGCTGTCCTGTTAATGGGACCTTTGATGGCGTTTTGTTGGAGTTTAATGATCAAAACTCATATCTTTAAAGAACTGCAGATCAAACGTGAGAGTGAAGGAAAGATAAATGTAAAAGACGTCAGATTTAAAGCGACTCTGAGAATCAGAGGTGGATTTTTTGTGCGTATAAACAGTCGACTGTGTGTTGTGCTCCAGCAGTTTGTCGCCTCTTACAGTACATCATCATCCCACACTGAGTCAAGTCTCTGTGCACAGTTCCCACTGGTGCTGATTCCACACCACGTTCAAGTTTATGTAACAGTTATTATTTTGGTCATGTGACTCCTTCACGCTGGTCCTGCTCATGAAGGCTACGTGTTCCCTTGTTCCCGCTTCCTTGGCCCTGCCTTTACCTGACGTCATGGAAGTAGAGGTTGGCACATATACACAGCAGCACGATGGACGCCAGCATGAAGTAGATCAGATTCCTGAATTTGGGCTCCAGGTTGCCCTGCCGGTACCAGAATATCTGCAAGACAGAGAACAGACGTTTAAAGGCTCCCTTCTGTGACCCGGCGACCTTTGCGTGAGCATTTGGCCATGTTTGTTTACCAGCACTAACGTAGAGCTGCAGGTCAGCAGGATGCACACGGCGAAGAAGATGTTCAGCGGCCGCGGAGGCATCGTGGGAAACACAAAGGAACAGATGACAGTCACCTGCAAAACAAATGCTCGTGAATAAAAATACATGCTAGTGAACATACGTCACTCTTCTGTACGTTCTTTTGAGCACAACCCGCATGAAGCGACAGTCGCAGCCAGAGATGGTAAAGACTTCTGATAGCTGTGGTTGCTAACACTTTTGGTCGTGCAACCGTTTTGCAGTCAGCTGACATGAACTTGTCCATTCTGGTCATGCGACACAAACTGAAAGCGTTGTCCTTCAAAGTAAGGGTTTCATCTCAGAGCTCATGTTTCAAAATGTGCAACTTTTACTTTGAAGGTGAATGTTCCATTTTCTGTTTGCCCCCCACTTTTTGGGGTTTTAATGCCGTTCCACTCAGTGAGTGTTTGCAGATATGCTGATGTCTCGTGTTCAGCCTACAGGAAACCATAGACAGCTGCGATTTCACCTAGCAACACCAGGTCTGGGAACAACATTCTCCCCTCACGACCTGTTTTTAATATCACATCCAATATGGCCGATAGCTCCAGGGCGAGATGTCGCTGACCCTCGGGAAACACTTTTCTGATAAACTTACTGGCTCAGTCCCACGTTTTTAGGCACACTGAAGAAAAGATAAAAGCTGGTGAACTTTGGTTTGGTTTGGTTGAAAGGAGGGTTACCTGAGGTATGCTCATTGGTTCACAGCTTGTGATTGACAAATCATTAGCCGTAAGGATATCCAGCTACCTGGTGGATAATTTAGCTGCACAAATATTAAATGATGCTGTTAACAGTTATGAAAATAATCCCAAGTTTGAGTTCCTTTATTCTACTCCTTACTCTGAGCTTCAGACAGACAGGCAAGGTCAGGCTTTGTAATTCTGTCTCAGGACACCAGCAGCATGGGTTTTAGATCAAAGAGGTCTCTGGCTGATGGACAGATGTGTTCAGGGACAAAAAAAAAGAAAAAAAAAAAGATTGAGACACTGCACTGAGAGGAGAAGAGCAGCAGCTGCTAGACTGGCTGGTTTCACCTCCGCCCACTCAGGAGCGGCTTCTTCCTGTGTGCCAGAGCAGGTGTGGTGACATTTTTTTAGGTCTGTATGAACGATGCGGAACTCACCAGAACCACCACAGACGTAAATCCCCCCACTGCCGTGTTGATGATTCGATCCTGCAAGAAACAGATCAGATGAGTGCATCACCCTGAGGATTACGCACTGCTGATCAGACCTGATCATTTTCAGCTAAAGTGACTCTAATGAATTACTTCAGTACAAGCAACAGTTAATAAATATTCAGATTAATCCGCTGCTGAAAGTAGTCCTCAGCAGCTTTTGCTCTTTATACACAGCCCAGTCGCTCTCCTGCAGAAACATCAGTAATGGCTGACATCATACCCGAGCGGACGTCTCTCCAAACAGCGGTCTGTTGTCCAGGCCACTCGTGCCATACGTCCTTGTAGTGAAGTCATCCATGGCGGCGCCGGCAGTACAGCCCCGACTGATCGTTTCTCAGCAGCGCCACTTCATGGAAAAGCTGCGACAGTTCTGCTGCATACTAGCCGTGTCTTTCTGCACGCCGGGGAGAAGACGGTCAGTGTGGGCGGAGCCGTGGGGACATTATAGAGGTGTGGGCTAAAGGGACCAGGTAGGCTGCTGCTCCTCCTTCACTTTAGTGACAGAAAACAGAGACTGTTAACAAGAGGAAGCGTGGGCAGCGCTCCCTGAAAAGCATTAAATATCAGAGTGTCAAAGTTTCTCTGAGGAACGACATGATTGTCTGTCAGTAGTGGTCAGCCGCTGCCGCCAATCAAAGGATACGTCAGAAAGATTTACACTGTAGTTCCTCTTGCTTCACTTCCTCTTTGTTTAGGATAGATAACAAACCACAGCTGCTGATATCGATACAGTGAATGGTACAGAAAGAGGAAGCTCAAATCAAAACCTCACAGACTCCTTTAAAGAGCTGTGAGCTACAGCGTGTCGTTAGTCTGGCGGTTCACAGGCCGCTCAGTGAGATCATGAGCCTGTCGCTGCTTGCTCACACGCTGACCTCACTACTTTACAGTGTGACGGAAAACCGGGAGGAGAAGCAGAAAACATCGCTCTGCTTCTGCAGTGAAACTGAAACAAACACCTGCTGCTGCACAGTTCTTATGAACACCATTAATATTTCATACACAGCAGAATTCACTTTATATAGAAAACAAAGTGACAGCTGTGGCTGAGGCACAGAGAAGCCAGCCACATCTGGAAGAAGATTCCACCTGATCCCCCCAGAAGCAGCAATGCCTGTTCTCTATAACAGAAGCTTTGAAACCCCCGTGAGGGATGCAGTGATAAAAACAAAAAATAAAATAAATAAAATGGAACCTCGGGCCTCCCGACTTATAAACCCTCCTGCAGCCTCATTGCCCGTTCCATTTGATTTTCTGTTGTTATAAAAACACCAATAAGGACACATTTACCGCTAAATCTTTACACTGGTGACACAGCGGCCTCCTCCAGGCTCTCCCAGGCTGCAGATTTTCCTGTGTTGAACCTTAGTAAAGCCTTTAAAAACACTTAAAGTGTTTATTAGAGAATTCCATCTATAAAGCACGTAGCAGCTTGGCGTTTCGTGCTCGGATTTTAATTTTATCCTGTTTGTTTTTGTTATCTTTGATAACGTTACAAAAATAAAGCGTTTCATCTCAGGAGAGTTCCTGACTAAAGAAAAAACACAAATATAGTTCATGAGTGTTTAAGGATGAGCATATTAGGAAATTATTTGAACTCAGAGGTCGCAATACTTATTTATCGTATTGTTTTATTACTTGTTATTCTGTTTGTTAAAAAAACAAAAATAACAACAACTACTTATTTATTACTTCTTTTTTTTTTAAAGAAATTCTGTTTCTTCATTATTTTGTTTCTTTTAGCTCCGGGACCGTGTGTACATAATTTCGTTCCACCTCATGTTAACATGTGATGGAAATGACAATAAAGCTCCTTGAATCCTGGAAGAGGAGTCTGGTGTCAAAGGTCGGCGGCACCAGCGCACGTTTCTGTCACAGATTTTATCCGGTGTAGTTTCTTCAGACACCGACATCAAAGCTGGTTTTAGAAAAATGAACAAAAGCCAGATGTGGACATTAGACTGTGGTGCCCACAGTGGCTGTCCCACTGATCACTGAGTCACTCCTCTGCAGTCTGAGGGCCTTAACAGGAAATACTGGCAATGTGGAGCTAAACTTTACTAAAGCTACAAAATGTGAGCCTGCAGGGTGACGACATTGCCACACGGGCACAGATGCATCCTCTCAGCAGATTCAAGCACCACTTTCATAAAGGCGGCTGCAGACATTTCTTCTTTTCTGGGTGAGAAGGCGGCAGGAAAGGAAATAAAACCCTCAGCAGAGCTTTCTCAGCAGAAAAAACAAGAGTGCAAAACAACAGCTCTTTTATCACCGAGCGTACGGTCGGCCCAAGGCGACATTCCTCCTAAGCCTTGTGATTCACTAGGCCGCTTAACAAGAAACCCTGAGTCTGAACAGAGGCACCGAAAAACAAAAATGACACCCCGATAAATCCAGATAAAGGAAGAATACAAACACAGCAGCTTCATACCAACACAAATCAGAGGAAAATATCGAAATCTGCACTTTAAAACACATGAAGACACACCAGGACTGATACAGGCAAAACTAAGGAGGAGAGAGAGGTTGTGTAGTCATAAAGCAGTGGTCATTCTCAGAGTACAGCGAGAATTTGCCAGGAAAAAGCATAAGGCTATAACATCAGATTTATGAGCAGAAAAACTGTAAAATCTTTGTCAAATGTGTGCTGCTTTAATATGTACGATTTTCTCACAAACCTCTGACTTTAGAAAGTTTTTAAACTCATCAAACATGATTAAAACTGATTTTTAAACTCTATTCCACTGTAAACGCCACGTTTCTGAGATCACTTGTGTCGATCTCAGACAAAATGTGGCGCGACAGTTGAGTGCGCCTGCGTTTTCACGGTACAAACACACGGGTGTTATCTGATGTCCTTTCTTTGCTTGTGTCGTGCACACTTCAATCATCCCGCTCTTGTGCAACTGTGGCACCAGCAGAAAGGTTCCAAGGAGCACTCTCGATAGGAACCACGTTCCCACAGCTGTGATCGATCAGCTTTAACCTGGACAAATGTTTGTAGAGTGCTACACGTTTTACAGAGCTCAGAGCTTAATAAATGTAAACAGTGTGTTACTGTAATGAAAAAAGCATTAAGCACAAACAGCCTGACAGCGAAGTCCCATGTGATGAAGGTTTGATTATTTACCTCTGAAATGTTAGCAGGACCACAGTTTTGGTCAAAAACGTCTCTCTTGTCAGTAATGGTTGGTTTCAAGTTACAGGGACATAAAACCACAGACAAGCTGCATAAAAATAAAAACACGGGGAATTACTGAAAATAACTTGTTAGTAATTATTATTGTTTCAGTAAATACCAATTTCCAGAAATCTCAAAGTCTTTAGCATTGAACTGTCCTCCAACACAGAGAAATTAAAGAGCTTTAATCTGCTTTGAAAACATAGTCTGACTCAAATTGATGCTGTGCACTCTGCGGGCTCAGTATATAGCTTATCGTGTCTGTAATCGCTCAAGTTCACTCAAAACAGCTCAGTAGCTTCACCTGAGGGTTAACGACCATATGTTAGCACTACGAGGAGAAAACGCTGGAGAAGAGCTCGTATCTTAGCCATTAATATTATTAAGCATGCATAGAAATGGAAAGAAGACGGTAACCTTAAAGCTGCCTTCAGTAGTGTAAGCTAACCTGAGATTTACCCGTGATAGGGCCAGCACCGAAGCGGGTGATCTGAGCTAAGCTAACTCCAAACAACTGCTCCCCGGCTGCTCGAGAAGTGCCCACAAATTTACCAAAAAATCTTCCTCTAATCTAAATCTTCCAGTGAAACATACCTGCCTCCCACTTCTGTGTTGACTCTACTGGAATCAACTTCAGAGCGATCAGGGTCACAGTTAAAGGGAATTAAAGCCCGGCAGGTCCGCATCGAGCTGTTATCACAGCCGATCTGTAAGATAGCCATTCCACTTCCTGTCGGTCCCACTGTACTCAAAATGGCTGCACTTCACCCTGGAGCGCAACAGGGGGCGCTCCTCAGTGAGCAGGAGTGAGTGTAGATACACGGCTAAAATAGTTACTTAGACTTGCTTATAGCTTTAAAAGGTCACATTTTATTGTATTATTCGCTAACACCGTATTTATTCTGCGTCTGAATTGAAATAAAACGGCACTACGTTTTAGTTTTTCACGCTGTGAAACAAATTTACCTATTCTGCCAATACTTGCTGAGTTGCCTGGTAAGGTATTTACGACAGTAGGCAACTCTTGATGGCACATATTTATGGACGATAAACATGCGTACATAAAACATAGTGGAAACGTTTAAGTGTTCGGAATATTTAGTTGACTGAGATGAGTGAACGTAATGGTACAAAGAGGTAGCTGCTACAAATTCTCTGATGCTGCCGCCTTCTTGCCTGAAATCAAAATGGCAGCTGCCGTAAAGTTGCTAATGGTGCTGTGACGTCCCTAATAAGCACAGAAATACTTTTTTAACTGCACTTGAAATCTGTGAAAAATTAAAGTAGAATGATGTTTGTCATTGTAAAAACATATTTGTTTAAAAATACGATGAAAATTTTTAGAAGATAATTGTAACAAGGCAACATTTACATTTTTGTGTCGCCGTCCATTGCGGACTAGCTCACGAGCGCCCTCTAAGAGACAGCAAACACAAAATGTCGGGAGTTCCAGTTTCCATTAAAAGCTCTCTGCTGTTAAAGGCGAGTGGAATTATTGTTGGGCCGACGCTTAGGCCGAACTCCATAAAAACCAACAAAACCAACAAACACACAAACAAAACTGGCCGTTTATAACCAAAAGCGCCGTGTCTAAAAAAAAGTAAGAGTAATGTAACAGTGGCCACTAATAGGCACGCTATTTTAACAAATTGTTTTTTAAATTAAGTTTTTTGCAGTTTAACCCGGTAAATATATTATTTTATACAAAACATTTCTTTAAAAAAAAACAACGATTTCAGGTAAACAAAAACGATTTTTTAAAAATTGGATATTTAAAAGCAAAATTTTCCCGTAATAATTTCAGCACCCTGCTAAGTTAAATCACTCAAACTCTGAATGGAGTTCGGTGTGAAGAATAAAAGACTTCTGTCATAGCAACTTAAAGCAGTCCTGTAATATGAGTAATGGTATTTCACTCACCTCCTGCCTGTAGCAAGGCCGGATCAACTTTCTTTAATTACAAGTTAATAAGCATAAGCACACTCCAGGGGCAGCTAAATAACCACTGGGTTTGATTTGAGGTGGGGGAAGCCTGAGATCTGAGAAGCAGTGGGCCCATACATAATCTCACCCCTCATGTTAGCATCACATGAGGGCAGTGTGACAAGCCCTGAGACTAACCCCAGCAAAACAGACCCAAAGAAAGAGAAACTCATGCTTGCTTGAAATCTGTTCTAGAAAATAAATTCCTGCAATGACGTAACTGAAGCATTTTCTCAGAATACAACTTCACTTCAAGATAACGTGACTCACTTTCGGGCCTTGAGTCTAACTTCTTACACAAGCATTATTATCTATAAACCATCAGTAAAACTGATTGTTTGATAATTAAATCGGTTTTTCTAACTACTGTCTAACTCTCGTGGAAATAAAAACCCTATTATTTTCATATTATATCAGCTCAGGTGGTTTACAGGGTTAGAAAACTGTGTGCTCAGTGCTGAATTAATTCATCTGTTAAAGAATATGATTTTTTATATATATATATATATATATATATATATATATATATATATATATATATATATATATATATATATATATATATGATTGAATTACTAAAATATCTGATCTGTATTCTTTGGTGCTCCGTTTTTCCAGATTTGCAGTCAGCGTCCTTCCGCTCTGCACATGGACTTTGGCTCAGTTATCAGTGAACACGACAGGTCACAGTAAGGCTCCAGCCTGATGTAAACAAAAGCACAAGGGCCCAGGTTTTAAGCCCATACAAACAGATCTCCCCGCTAGTTATCGGATTTTGCTGGAAGTAAGTCATGTCGATTTAAGCAGGATTTTAAATACTGTATTTTGTAAATTTAAGTTTGTATTATTTATGTAAGTGTGTATGTATGTATATACTAATGCTATAAAAAATATTCTGTTGGACTTTCTTGAAAACTGGTATCGGCTTAACAAAGTGGTTAAATATCATTTTAGTTCTTTTTAGATTTTATTAAAAAGTAGCTCCTTAGATACTGCAGAAGATGTTAAACGTATCATTCTGTTCCTCCGGTAATCGGCATTGAAATAATCCCAAAAGCTCCATTTTATTTTAAAAATATTTTAAATAATTTAAAACCCTTTGCCTCTCGGTCGTAGCTGGGATAGCCCCCCAAACTATTACATTTTTCTTTTTGTATTACATGTAAGTACAGAAGAGGATTAGGCCACCGGGGAAAAAAGTGGCCATATTGTTTTGTTCCTGCAGCATCTGGACTCCCCAGGAACCTACGCCAGGATCCTGTTTGTGGACTTCAGCTCTGCCTTCAACACCATCCTTCCAGACCATCTCCGAGACAAGCTTTCCCAGATGAATGTGCCTGACCCCATCTGCCGGTGGATCACTGACTTCCTGACGGACAGGAAGAAGCATGTGAGGCTGGGAAAGAATGTCTCGGACTCCCGGACCATCAGCACCGGCTCCCCTCAGGGCTGTGTTCTTTCTCCTCTGCTCTTCTCCCTGTACACCAACTGCTGCACCTCCACCCACCAGTCTGTCAAGCTAATCAAGTTTGCAGATGACACCACCGTTATTGGGCTCATCTCGGACAGGGACGAGTCTGCCTACAGGAGGGAGGTTGAACGCCTGGTGTCCTGGTGCAGCCACAACAACCTGGTGCTGAATGCCCAGAAGACAGTGGAGATTATTGTGGACTTCAGGAAGCACACAGCCCCACTCCCCCCCATCATCCTGACTGACACCCCCATCACCTCTGTGGACTCATTCCGCTTCCTGGGTACCACCATCACCCAGGACCTGAAGTGGGAGCCCACCATCACCTCCGTCATTAAGAAAGCCCAGCAGAGGATGTACTTCCTGAGGCAGCTGAAGAAATTCAACCTGCCAACACGGACGATGATGCAGTTCTACACTGCAATCATCGAGTCCATCCTCACCTCCTCCATCACCGTGTGGTACGCTGGAGCCACTATCAGGGACAAACAGAGACTGCAGCGTGTTGTGCGCTCTGCTGAGAAGGTGATTGGCTGCAGACTCCCATCTTTGCAGGACCTGTACACCTCCAGGACATTGCGGCGTGCAGCTCGGATCTCAGCTGACCCTTCTCACCCTGGACACAGTCTGTTTGACCTGCTCCCCTCAGGCAGGAGGCGCCGGTCCATTCGCACCAGAACCTCTCGCCATAAGAACAGTTTCTTCCCCTCTGCTGTTGGACACATGAACAATAACCATATGACTGTTCCCACTACTAACACATGACCCTACGCTGTGTCACTGCATCATTCCATGATTGGCACTGATCACCACCTGCACTCATGTATATATCTTTCAACGTAGCACTCTTAATTCTTATTCTCATGTATATATCTCATGTATAGCTCATGCACATATCTCTCTACGTAGCACTTTTAATTCTTATCCCTACTTTTATTTTTTCATGTCTATTTAAGTGCTATTTATGACACTATGTTTGCACTGAAGCACCGCAGCAATTTCCTAATGTTGTAAACCTGCTCAACATTTGGCAATAAACCTCATTCTGATTCTGATTCTGAGAATTCTGAGAAAAAACGTCATGTCCATATGTAAGCCATGCTGAAAGATCGAGACAAAAAACAACAACAAGTAAATAACAATATATAATTCATTTGCATTTAGAAAAATGTTATAATTTGGCTTTTTTAAATGGAGTTCTACCAACAGACGCGCGACAGATACCAAAACGTTTTATTTGAAGTAAAAGATCTGTAGACGACTTTTGGACGGACCCTGCGCTTGTTGGTTACCTGGTAACCATGAATTTTCTTCTTCTACGTTGGAGGGCAGCGGTCACAAAGTTTCATTAGATGGCCACAAACGACATGCCATCTCACTGGTGATAATAATATTAAGAAAAGAGAGTCTGGGATGGTGGCTGAAAAATTATATTAATGTTAAATGAGAAACTGGAACATCTTAAACTCACTCTGATGAAATACCAGAGGATAAGAGTTCGCTAGCTCGACAGGAATATAGGACTTCGAGTTGACACTGGGTGGCGGTAGTACTGGCTAAATGGTCTTAAAAATAAAGCGAAGAAGGGGAGCTCAGTTCCGTGGGCGGGACAAACAAACAAACCGGTATTGGGAATAAAAATATGTTGGTTTCGTTAAGTTAAGTACGCATGAACAATTAACAGGAAACTGAAATAAAATAGTCGCAGTGAAGATGAGTTCGTTTGCGGGTCGGATGAAGGAGTACCCCACCATCTCTCTGGACCGGTTCGACAGGGAGAACCTACATGCCCGGGCATATTTCCTCTCCCACTGTCACAAAGGTGAGCCTGGCACCTGCACAGTTGTTAGAAACGGTACATATTACATGTGTGGCCTCCTGATGGCGGGTGTCCTCTCTGTTTCACTGAACAGATCACATGAAAGGGCTGAAAGGACCTCTGCTGAAGAGGAAGCTGCAGTTCAGGTGAAGCCTGGGTGCTGTTAAACTGATATTTAATCCAGTGATGCTCAGATATTTGAGTCAAAGTTGAGATTTGTCTCAGACTTCGGGTGAAGAATTACAATTGTGACCTTTCTGCACTAATTTACCATCTTTTAAACTTACTGTGAAACGTTACTATGTCACACAGGGTGCAGTTCAGCTGCTTGTTGTGGGCGTTATGGGCATCAAGCAGCCCCATGGTTGATCGGAAAGATGAATTGTTCCTGCTGTGAAATTAAAACCTAACACTGCTTTAATGAGCGTGTAACTCAGGGCTGAATATAAATTTGTTGTTTGCA